ATTGCAGATCAAATTGTTTCAGATGATCGGTCACTTTGTGTATCAGAAAATCGATTGATCGGTATTGGTCAGAACGATCACCAATCATTGCTATCACACAGATCGTTGTGCCTCTCTCTGTTCTCTATCAGGAGGAGGAGATTCCGGAATCTGATGGATTCTCCCATTCAAATGATCGAATCTCCCGGAATGGACGGGGAAGCCACTGACACTCAGGCCGGACAGTCGGGGGGCACTGCCCGGTGCTGGGGCGGCTCACCTGCGGGCGGCGGGTCACGTGATCCCGGTGTGTGCTCGGTGCGGCTCGGTGCTGTGATCGGTGATGTCACTGTCCCTCCGCCGCCATCTTCCGGCTACGTTGCAGCCGCGCAGAGGATTGTGGGAGAGGCCGGCAGTAACCCTCCCGCTGCCGGGTAAGCGGACCTGTCAACCCTGAGACCTCATAATGACACCCCCACATCTTCATCTGTGTAATATCACCCACAATCATACATACAGGGGCCACACTGGCATTACAAGGGCCACGTAGGCAATACAAGGGCCGCACTGGCATTACAAGAGCCACGTAGACAAAACAGGGGCCACGTAGGCAATACAGGGGCCATACTGGCATTACTTGGGCCACAATGGCAATGCAAGGGCCACACAGATGAACAGGGGCCACACAAGCAACCATGGCCATACAGGGGCCATTTCAAAAATACAGGGGCCATATAATCAATACAGGGGCCACACAGTCTATACAGGGGCCATCAATACTGGGGCCACAAAGCCTATACAGGGGTCAAATAAACAATACAGGGGCCACACAGCCTATACAGGGACCATATAAAAAATACAGTGGCCGCACAGCCTATACAGGGACCATATAAAAAATACAGGGGCCACACAGCCTATACAGGGGCCATATAAAAAATGTAGGGACCACACAGCCTATACAGGGACCATGTAAAAAATACAGGGGCCACACAGTCTATACAGGGGCCATATAAAAAATACAGGGACCACACAGCCTATACAGGGACCATGTAAAAAATACAGGGGCCACACAGTCTATACAGGGGCCATATAATCAATACAGGGGCCACAAAGCCTATACAGGGACCATATAAAAAATACAGGGGCCACACAGCCTATACAGGGACCATATAAAAAATACAGAGACCACACAGTCTATACAGGGGCCATATAATCAATACAGGGGCCACAAAGCCTATACAGGGGTCAAATAAACAATACAGGGGCCACACATCCTATACAGGGACTATATAAAAAATACAGGGGCCCCACAGCCTATACAGGGACCATATAAAAAATACAGGGGCCACACCACCTATACAGGAATTATATAGAAATACAGGGGCCACACAACCTATACGGGGACCATATCAAATATACAGGGGCCACCCCACCAATACATGAACTATATAGAAATACAGGGGCCACACAGCCTATACGGGGACCATATAAACAATACAGGGGGCCACACCACCTATACAGGGGTCAAGTAAACAATACAGGGGCCACACAGCCTATACGGGGACCATATAAACAATACAGGGGGCCACACCACCTATACAGGGGTCAAGTAAACAATACAGGGGCCACACAGCCTATACGGGGACCATATAAACAATACAGGGGGCCACACCACCTATACAGGGGTCAAGTAAACAATACAGGGGCCACACAGCCTATACAGGGGTCAAATAAACAATACAGGGGCCACAAAGCCTATACAGGGGGTCAAATAAACAATACAGGGGCCACACAGCCTATACAGGGACCATATAAAACATACAGGGGCCACACAGCCTATACAGGGACCATATAAAAAATACAGGGGCCACACCACCTATACAGGAACTATATAGAAATACAGGGGCCACACAGCCTATACGGGGACCATATAAACAATACAGGGGGCCACACCACCTATACAGGGATCATATAAAAAAATACAGGGGCCACACAGCCTATATAGGGACCCTGACATGCCAAAACCTGGACATACTGGAGAAATGACAGGTTCCCTTTAGCGGGCAACTTACACATTTCCATTGGCCATGGAAGCAGCCAATCATAGTGACGGGCCGGTGGAAATGTGCGGGGAGCCGGTAATTATCGGGGTCACGCTGGGATTCGGGTGCAGTGGGAGGGGCTTGCTTATTGTAGATTTTTTTTACTTTAAAGTGAACCTGCGCCTTTGCCCATGACCAGCTGCTGGCCTCCGCTCATGTCAGCGCAGCCACACCTGTGCCCTATAGCAGTTGTAGTCAACCAGCTGTGCTGAAACTACAACTCCCATAATGCCTCTGCCTCTGGAAGTCATGCCTGTGGCTGTCAGAGCCTTGCAATGCCTCATGGGACTTGTAGTTCCACAACAGCCAGAGTGCTGAGGTTACCCACCCCTGGTGTATGGGGCTCCTGAGTGAAGGGGTATTGCAGTGCTTGTTATGTCCTATTCAGAACAGCAGGGGGCAGCAGAGTCCAGGCTACGACCGCCCTTCCCTTCTCTATAAAGCAGCGCTCCGATCTCTATGGTGACGGGACTTCATGGAACAAGTTTGATGGCTTCGGTGACACCAACGAGATGAAGACGTCTTTCTGGTAAATCCTCCCCTAAGATATGTGAGCCAATGGAATCAGCCTAAAGCCCTTTCAGTTTGAATCAGATACATTTCGGGTGTACCGTCTCTTTAAAACACAACCCCAGCCTGAGTAGGGAAGCCCGTCCCCTGCCAGCACTCCGCAGAGAAGGAGCCATGTTCTCTGTGTGGAAGCAGCGGTCTCTCTGCAGAGGTCCAACACCTAGCATGCTGCAGAGAAGGAGCCATGTTCTCTGTGTGGAAGCAGCGGTCTCTCTGCAGAGGTCCAACACCTAGCATGCTGCAGAGAAGGAGCACAGTCAGTTCCAGGAGCATGCTGATAGGAGGAGAGAGCAGAGAGATGAGCTCGTCCTCGCACTGCTCCTCCTGGGCAATGTGAAGCGGCGCCTTTTAGTCTCCATCGGACTGGGTGACAACACAAGAGCACAATTGCGAGACAGCGTTGTCACCCTGTAACAGGAAGTACCTTCATGGCAGGATCAGTAGGGGATTTTTTTTTTTTCGGTAATGAAAGCTGCAGATGACCTTTGAAAGGACATTCACCTGTTAAAGCTGCTATGAGATCTTACAGGTTGGGTTTACAGCACAAGGAGCCAATCAGTGGGTTGATGAAGCACGCTGATAGGAGGAGAGCGCAGAGAGATGTGCAGCTCCTCCTTTCCTATGCTCCTCAGCTCCACCTAGTGGCCATATTGAGATGCGCATCTTGTTCACTATGTGTCATATCTGACTTGTCTCACCACAGTGCTGCCCTCCGGCTGTTGTTCTCCTACATGTCCCATGAGGCATTGCAAGACTGACAGTTACAGCCATGACTCCCAGAGGCAGAGGCATGCTGGGATTTGTAGTTAAAGCACAGCTGGAGGGTTGCCCACCCCTGCCTTAAAGTGTATGTACACCCCAACAGTGAGTTCTCATATGTGGTCCCTATTGGTCAGGTAAACATACCGATGATTCTATCTGTAATATTTATTTATATATATATAACTTCCTGAGCATGTGCTGCTCTTGTATTGTCCCCATCAATCTCTGCGGACTACAAAATACCTCCCCCCCCTATGTTATGGAGAAGAGGAGAGTCTTGAACTCGGGTGACAACGCTGCTCCCCCGTACAGCACAGTGAGTGAGCGTTGTCACCCTAGGACAGGAAGCGAGTGATTCGCCAGGACATGAAAGAAGCCAATCTAAAGTGCAATGTATGACATTCATGTTCCTTGATTCAGACACTGGCATGCTTTCCCCATCACCGGAAATATGGAACAGCAAACAGGCAGAAATGGACCGCTGAGTGGAAGACCCCCCTTTACAGAGACCCCAAAGAATCTTTTTTTTTTTTTTTAAAGTGGTACCACACTTTGATGAACCCGTTCACATGTAAAGAAGAAAAAAAGCTTTTTCCCTTTAAGTGCCCAATGCGGAGCCATTGTTGGGCTCTTTTGTGTGTGATTAGCGTGACGCGGCTCCTTTAAGAGGGACCCTGGCCCCTCCCTCCTCCTTGCTATGGTGAGAAATAGAGGTTAGTGTAGGGGGGGGGAGACACTCGGCATCCGTCGCTTGGTCACAGAGGGAGCCCAGCATCTGTCCCTGCAGCACGGCGAGCAGCTCCTCAGGACCGTCCGGCGGCTGAACATGGTCCGCGCTGCACCCTCCTAGTCCCCGGCAGTGCCAGAGGGACCGGCGGCAGCATGGGGTGCTGTACTGGAAGATGCACCCTGATCCTCCTCTGCACCGTCCAGCTGGTGAGTTCCATGGACT